AGCTTAATAGCAGGAAATGAACAAAATTCTCATTTCGTTATGGAGAAATGTCTTTGATCGGTCGCTATTACTGCATTTACCGTCTTATTGAATGAAACATTTTAAAAAGTCAGTGTTTGATCACAAATGCCTTTCGCTCTCTAAGGTCCCTTATCGGTTCTTATCAGTTGTTATCAGTTCCTGTCACAGAGTACCTACGACAACGTCACATCCTAGATTGCCGTCATTGAAAAGGTTCCACTGTTGAAACGAAGGGGATTGCATCGCTTGCTCGCTTGTTGTTATCTGTCCTTGTCACTGATTAACTGCGGTCCCTTCACATCCTGCACTATCTACTGGAATGCTCAAATGTTAATGTGAAAGACGTTGTAGACTTATTGGCTCTCGCCGCCTATCAGTTTCTATCAGTCTCTAACAGTTGTTATTAGTCTCTATCAATGAACAGCTACGGCCCCTTTTTGATCACACCCCTTACCGAAGTGGCAAAGCTCTGCCGTTAACACGAAGTAACCGTTTCTGTGGTTTCCACCTTTCAAGGCACTACAGAAAGTTCAACTACAGAAAGCTACAACAGCTCACTAAGGTCGATTAGGAATCAAGGAATGTTTTTGGTTTCCAACACATTTGATATCCTTTTGACACATGCCCTTTCGCTATGTTCCATAGGATTAGGCGCAAGAATAGAGTAAGCTGACAGGAAATGAGTGGTGAATGCAGTAATAAGGAGCGATTGATTAGAACCATTTAATGGAAGTCTGTTTCATTAACTGCTATCAGATGATGACAAATGCCTCAGGTTTGCTTTTTAGTGAAGAACCACGTAATGTTTTTATTCCTAGTTCAGTTGCTACAAAATTTATCCGACCAATCTTTATCCGACAATAATTTGGGAATCTCGGCCAATGATTCATACACATGAAGATGTGGAGTGTCACGGATATGGACTTCTGATTATAATGCATTCGACAACATAGTAGGTATCGCCACATCCATGTTCCCATTTGCAAAAAAGTGAAGGCATGAAGAAAACTATTTGATTTCTATTGGTTCCGAAAAGTGTAACAGATGGAAATTTTTGGGCACTAGGAGTGGGCTCCCTGTGCCCGTAGAAATGGGGAATCAGTCTTTGAAAATTTGTAGTCAGTAATCAAACACTCGTTTCGGGAAGGAGAATGGAGGGTGAAGCCTGCATTCCGATTCCGCAGAAGTAAGACGGGAAACTAGACGTAAGGTATGATTTTTTTTCATTCCAGTTTGGGAGCTACTTTACAACTCACCAACTACAGCATAGGCACCAGGGTGAATAACGCGAGAATTATCGCCCGCAATTACATGTGGATACCACACACGAAGTACCTCGCCTGTAACAGAATATATCCTGCTGAAACATTGTTAGTAGGATACCATTTAAGCGACCTGTGTATCGACCAAACGCTCCTCCAAGTACGAAAACTGGCATAAATATCCCTGCTGGAACTGGAAGAGTTGAAGCGATTATTGATAAGATAAACTGAAAAAAGCCGAACGAAATTAAAAAAAATAAATAAATTTGTTTATGCAAGTCAGAATGGTGTGTACAGTATACGTGCCATCACACGTACGTAGAGTCCTTACCAATATCTAGATAACTGAAAAATGCGAAAGAGAAAGTTCCGAGAAAAACGTACAAATGTTATTTGAAATGCAACAAGTGAGTGGAAAATGCTTATGTCCCCATTTGGTCCAATCCACGACTCGTTGACTGCTCGAGGACATGAGTACGGAGTGTCATGGATCCACGAACAAGCGATGAAGAAATCATGCACTGTGTGACTGAATACTTCCTGAAATACTGCGCTTGATTCGTATCTTTTGTTATCAACAGGGGAAACATGAAAGTATAAATGATAGTTATCATTATCCTGGTAATGTTACGATCAAGCTCAGGGAGTCGAGGGCGTATCCTAACCCGGCTAGTGGGCCAGTGTTTTGGAACGTCAAGCACTGACCTCACCGGACCCTTCTTAGGAGCAGGCACTGCATTCCTTGTTATGACACTTAACTAGCTGTACGTTGGAACGTGATATCAGAGTAAATTAATTCTAAAAAGAGCCTGGAGTGATGATGAGCGGAGGTGGCTAGACAGGGAGATGCACGTTATCATATTAAATCATTATCATTAGTTTTGCCCACAAATCGCCATCATTGCGAGACTTTCGGCTCGCGTCCTGCAGCGGTACATCAGCAGTTTACAAATCGCCAAGTCAATAATAGAGACAGACCGAAAATTTTGGTACAGTAAGATTTTGCAACAATGGTCGGAGTACTTACATGAAAAAAAGTGCTGTTCTACAGGATTACGGTAAGGGCATACCTCACCAGCAAGATATTTTCCAAAGCCTAGTGGATAGGTTATTGCTGACATAAAGAACGATACGAAGGCAGGATAGACGAGCCAGCTGAAACAGCACTTTGACTAGAATAAATGTAAGAGACAAATGAGCCGACTTACAAAATGGCATAAAATCTCTCAAATAGAAACCATCCCATTAAACAGGTTCTGTGAAAATTTACGTGTAGTTTTCCACCGTTGAAACGTGGAGGTTTTTCCATACGTCGGTTCAGTCTCAACTCTTTATAAGTTCTGAGCGGGCTGTACTGAATTATTGTCATAAGGTCACCCTTGACCCCGAAGTACTAAAACTGGACGCCAGTGCTTCCCACCTGTCGGAAAATTGTCGAAGAAGAAGACTGCAAACATACCAGAATGCACCGGTAATCGAAAACTCAGGACAATTTGACAACAAGAAATTGGTGGCTTCCCTCATGAACAGGCGAATTCGTTGACACCGCTGCGTAAACATAGACTGAACTTACTAATTCTTTGTGCGCTTTTTGTTAATGATTAATGAAATTGGCCAATAAAGAAGCACGCAGAGTTCATAAAACAGGGAGCCCGCATGAAGTCGTGGAAAAATGGCTTCTCCGCACGACCCCACTTCCAACAGTCGTCAATGGCAAAAGGGTATGAAAGTAAGCATGCTTACGTCACAGCCAAAACACAAAATATTCATTGCAATATTTCAACCTCACAACTGGAAATAATATTCTTTTCTCACAGCATATTCCGTGACCAAATCCCGACCTAGTTGAAATAAGTTCTTTGTATAATTCGAAAGCGACTTACTACTTCTGAAGCACTATTTTTACAAAATTGTTTCTCCTCAAAAATAGCACCACAGTTCGGTGAAGAAGAATGAACAATGCACCGAGAATTCCACATAACAGCCTGAAACGAAAACAAAAGAGAATATTCTTGTTTCTCATTCAACGAGAAGGCTACTAGCGGAACTTAAGTGTGACGGATGCACGAGCACAACAAAAGAATATTATTTTAGAACATGATTTTTATCTACGGATCTACCTCAATGAGTTCTCTCTCACTGAAGGATCCCCAGCCGGTTAGTGACGAGGCCACGT